AGCCATGCTGGCTGGGGAATTCTGGGAGTTGAAGTCCACTCATCTTAAAATGGCCAAGTTTGGACAACACTGCTTTACAGCATCAAGATAGACACATGCTTGCATGGAACAGCCTATGGGAACTTTTGGATGCACAATCTCATTAAAAGAGAAAAAAAACTACAGCATTTCTGAAGGATATGCAGGAGTCTTACAGCTTACAAAAAGGTTCTGTTTTAAAACACAATTCATGGACTTTTTCTTAGAAAAGATTGCCCAGAGAGTAGGTTGACAGTTTATTCTCTTTGCATTGTGGTTCTGAAGCTCTATAAAGTCATAGATCTAAGGCTAGAAGATGAAGCTCTCACTTGGCTACATGTTGTGAATCCAAAGCTCACAAAACACAGTCAGAATGAAAATAGCTAGATCTCAGAATAGAAATTTCGAAACTAAACTGCACCAGCAGGTTTCAAACACATGTCTATTTAAATATAAAACTAACCATACATTCTCTTCCAACCTTCTGACTAAAACATGACTGTTTTAACAGGTTTCCTGTGGGGCTGTTTTTTTTATTTAAAGCACAGGGGAAGAAAAAAAAGGAAGGCTTTCTCTTGAGTCATGCTTGACTTGTGATGACTTCACAGGCACAGCCTTGAAGTTTTCTTGGCAACCATACAGAAGCGGTTTTCCATCCTCCTCTTCCACAATTTTTTTTCAACTTCCCTTTCTTGTTTACAGTCCTTCCATTTCCTTAGTCTCCCATCTAAGCATTCACCAGGTACAACCCGATTTAGCTTTTTTAGCATCAGCCAGGATCAGGTAAGTGAATCCACCTGCTCAGCCAAAGCATAGAAAAGGAACCCAGGGCTCTGCTGTAGAGAATACCCGAAGTTTTGAACTCTCCCCACCTCTGGTGATTTTTTTTTTTTTAACTTTGAACTGCAGGATTTCATGCCATGGAAAATTTTAATTACTTTCTCATTTCTTTCTTCAGTTTCTTCTTACATCAGCCTTCTCCAACCTGCTTCTTCCAGACTGAAATTCCCAGAATTCCCTGGCCTTCAGCCATGTTGACCAGGAATTCTGCAAGTTGCAAAATTATTGTGATAAAAGTGTCTGAAAAAAATAACAAATTCAGCCAGGCCCACCAAAAAAAGCTGCTTGGCTGAGCTCGGATTTCCTCCTGCATCTTGTAACTTTTTCAAGAATGTAGCCATTACAACTCCCAGTAATTTTAGTTCCCAAAGAGCTTTTGCAATACATTTTAGGCTTGGAGAACATAAGGACTGTTTGCTGCTTGAGGATGTAAGAGTCCCAGCAGGCAAGTGAACTAGACACCATAGTTTATTGTAACCTAACGATATTTTTCAACAGGTCATATGTATGAAAGATGTGAGCTAAATGAATATCTGGGTAAAGCAAGGGTAGAAATTGCTTTATAGC